TTGGAGTGGAAACTGCGTTTCTTAATTATTGACTTCACATCACTCATATTCTTTAAGTTACAATCTTAAATAAAATGGGGTAAATTCTACCAGAAAAGAAAAGAAAAACAAAGAAAGAGAAGTGGATAATGCTGTAATGGAGAGTGTCACTTGCACAGAAGTCACTTAGCTTACTTTACTGATGTGCATGCTCTGTAATTAACCTTAGTTGTTAGACTATAGTTAGTAGTAGTGAGTGGTCACATGTTTACTTAGTTAGAACTCTTTGCTGGCAAATAATTGGATATGTTAGTCGGTATATATATTCTGTAACTTCTCATTTGTGAAAGATAAGCTACTAAAACACTCTATTACAAAATTCTCTCCCTCTCTAGAATTTTTCACTGTTTTATTGCTTCCTCTTTCGCTTCATGCAGCTTCGTCTTCATCTGGTTGGATTGGTTGTTTCAGCCTAGATTACAAATCTTATCATGGTATCAGAGCAATCAACCGAGCAATTCTAGGGATTTATTTTTCGTTCAATTGAAGAAAATCGAGAGAATTAGCTTCGAGTTTGGGACCTGTAACCCTAATTTTGTACGATTTGGTGCAATTTCACTAATTCAATGGCGATTGCAGATGAATCGAGCGGTACGAGAATTAGTACATCAACATCCACTAGCAATATTTTATAATGATTTGGTTGCCGAAAGCTAATATCTCCAGGATCCTATTGACTTAATTCGATAGCAATGTCTCACTATATTTTCTTTTTTTTTTTGTTCCAACAATGTATCCGATACTCGTATTGGTGCCCAACTAATCCCAGATTAAAGTCGAAAGTCTCACATTATGGATAAATTATTAGATTTAGAGACTAAAATTTCCAAAAAACTTCCTTATTCTCTCTATTGATAGCGCGTTGTACATCCTCTTTATACAAGTTTGTAATGTAAATTCAATAAATGAAAAAGAAAATTATATTTACACTTGTCCTATTCTTATTCAATAAAATCTAACTATATTAACAAACTATATTCTCTCCCACATGCCAAAGAATTGATCACGTGTAGGCATCTTCTAGAATTATTCTTTTCTGATTGCTGGCCAAGGAAGTATTTGAAGGGTCATGATTTAATCCATCAATGTTGTGTTTGAAGGTCAGGATCTGTCCACGTGTTCCTTTGTTTGTCTGAGAAGAACAAGTTTGACCAGACCATATTTTAGAGTTAGGCTTCCCTTTACTCTTTGTATTCGATACACACGAAGCCTCACACGACCCCTCTTTCTTCTTCATCTTCAATCCTCTCCTATGTGACTCCATAACTTGATTGCTTTTATGTAATCCATTCTAAGAATCAATATCATCATGTTTCTCAACACCTCCCCTCAAGTTGGAGGGGAAGGAATTGATACCCAACTTGCAAAGAATATATATGTGAAAAGGTCCAGCTAGAGATTTGGTAAAGAGATCTGCCAGTTGCAAGGTCGATGGAACATAGAAAAGAGAAATCAGCCCTGAGAGAACCTGTTAGCGCATAAAATAGCAGTCCAACTCAACATGCTTTGTGCGTTCGTGAAAAACGGGATTTTGAGCTATGTGAATGGCTGCTTGACCGTCGGAGTGCAAATAAATCGGTAAACATGGAGAAAGAGATATATCCTCAAGCAAGAGAGTCAACCAAGTCAACTCAGCAGTGACTTTCCTCATCGATCTATATTCAGCCTCGGCGGAGGAAGGTGAGATGGATGGTTGTTTCTTTGACTTCCACAAGATAGGAGAGCCGCCTAAACTGATGTAGAAACCACTAATAGATCGTCTAGAATCCGGGCATGAGGCCCAATCTGCATCACAATAAGCAATTAAGGAGAAAGATTGTGAGCCATTCAAAAACAAACCTTGCCCTGGATCAAGGCGTAGATAGCTCAAAACTCGAAGAGCAGCAGAGAAATATCCCACACAAGGTCTTTGCATGAACTGACTTAAAATTAGAATAGCAAAAGAAAGATCAGGCCTTGTGTGGATAAGATAGTTTAATTTTTCAACGAGCCTTCGATAGATGATGGGATCAGTTAGTGGAGGACCTGAATCAACAGATAACTTGGAACAAGGATCAAAAGGGGAGGAAGCTGAAGGCAGTTGATTGCAATCCAATTCTGCCAGCAAGTCTAAGGTAAATTTCCTTTGACTTACTATAATGCCATTGTTTTCGTGCAGAATCTTCATCCCCAAAAAGTAATGTAATTCCCCTAGGTACTTGATTCAAAATTCAGCATGTAAGAAAGCTTTTAATTCTGATAGTTCTGTAGGATTATTACCTGTGAGTAAGATGTCGTCCACATATACTGCCACAATAGAAACAAGATCCCCTTTCTTCTTAAAAAATAATGAGTAATCATTGAGTAAAGAAGAATAACCTTTAAAACTCAAGGCTCCAGCAAGTCTGGCTTACCACTGCCTAGATGCCTGCTTTAATCCGTATAGAGATTTTCTTAATTTGCACACAAGATTGGGAATATAAGGTGTGAGACCTGCAGGGAACTTTATATAAACTTCTTCCTGTAGATCACCATGTAGAAAGGCATTACTAACATCTAACTGTGCAATGCTCCAGTCTCTTTTGACTGCAATAGCCAACAAACACGTGATTGTGGTCATTTTGACCACTTGTGAGAATGTCTCATTGTAATCAATTCCTTCTCTCTGAATATCCCCTCTAATCACCAACCTGACCTTCAATCTCTCAATTGTCCCATCTGCATTGTGCTTTACCTTGTATACCCATTTACAAGGCAAAGCCTTCCTCCCCATTGGTAAAGGCACTACCTCCCAGGTTTGATTTGTTTGTATATCCTCAATTTCTGAATCCATTGCTTTCTTCTATCCTGGATGAAGTGATGCTTGAGTAAAACTGGTGGGCTCAGTCACAATAGCAATAAACTTCAATAATTGTTGATTTTGAAATGATAAGGCAGTAAGGGAGAAACTGGAAGGTTGTGGGGGTTGTGTGAAACAGGCAGAGGATACATATGTGAGGTAAATATTATTGCAAACATAGTCTTTTAGATGTTCAGGGAATTTAGTCACTCATTCTAATTTTCTAACTGGTAAAAGAGAATTAGGAACTGGACTACTAAGAGGATGGTGAGAAGTTGAGCTAGGACTAGGACAAGGTGAGCTATGTTGAGAAAGTGGACTGAGTTGAGCAGGGGAAGAGGTAAGCAGTGAACTAGGAGAAGATTGGTTAATATCTTGTGGCTCATGAACAAGTGATGTTGGTAAGTGAAGAGTCTTGTCATTGGGAATAATTGTGTCAGGCGGAGTAGGAAAGATAGGCTGAGGTTTTGGTGCTTGATTGTGAAAAGGGAAATTAGTTTCATGGAACTGTACATCTCTAGACACCACAATCTTTCTGTTGTATAGTTCCAAAAGCTTGTACACTTTCTGTCCGGGAGGGTACCCTAAAAACACACATGCCTTAGCTCTTGGTTCAAATTTGCCCCTGTTTTGTGCTAAAGTAGATACATAATACCAAAAGTCCTCAAATCTGTGTAATCAGGGAGTTCTCCAAAAATTACCTCATATGGTCTCTTTCCTTTAAGCACTCTAGAAGGAATCCTATTAATCAGATGTTTTGCTGTTAGCACACATTCTCCCTAGTAGGATGTAGGTACCTTTGACTGAAACATTAAGGCCCTTGCTATTTTTACCAAATGCCTGTGTTTTCTTTCAACCACCCCATTTTGTAAAGGGGTGGCAACATAGGATGTTTGGTGTAGTATGCCTTGAGAGGTCAAGTATTCAGAATGTACAGAACCTTTCCCTAATTTCGTTGCATTATCTGACCTGATTACCTTCACCTTTACATCAAACTGTCTTTCAACCATCTTCAAAAAATATTTTAAGACACTAAATGCATTACTTTTTGCAGTCAACAAGTATGTCCATGTTGCCATACTGAAATCATCAACTATAGTCAAAAATATTTGTATTCATTATAAGTAGAAACTTTGTAAGGTCCCCAAGTATCTATGTGGATTAGTTCAAATATTCGTTTTGTTGAAGTATGACTTATTGAAAAATGTTTTCGAGTTTGCCTTGCCAATGGACATACATCACAAGAATAGTTTGAATTAGGAAGAAAAGAAATAGTATTGATATTTTTCATTGCATAGAAAGGCAAATGCCCCAACATATTATGCCATAACATTACATCAGATACTAATTTAGCAGAAGAAACTGAAACTGAATTGTGCTCTTTAGACAATAGAGAAACATTTGATTGAAAAAAATTCCTAGACTGGGTACTACATGGCCTAAGTAAATATAGTCCTTCTTTGACTTCACCAAAAGCTTGAGGTCTCTTCATTAAAGAGCCCTGCAAGAGACATTCAGTATGAGTAAGAAGTACTAAACATTTAAACTGGTATGTGTGTTTGTGAACAGATAATAGGTTGAACTTGAAACAAGGAACATGTAGACATTTTCTAGGACAAGATCTGAAAAAATAGGTACATTACCTGAATGAGTAACTTTGACCTGATATGAATTAGGTAGATTAAAAATAAGAGGCATAGGGAGTGGATATAAAGACTTAAAATCTTTAGTATCATAACACATATGTTCTGAAACACCTGAATCTATGATCCAGATATTAGTGTTTTAAAAGGGAAAATTAGAAACTAAGTTATTGAAAGCAATACCAGCTACAACATTTGAACTGATATCTGCTCCAGTTCCTATTGAGGTATCCTGATGAACCTTGACATGCTTGAGCAAATTCACAAGCTGAAAAAACTGATCCTTGGACAGATTCTGTATTAAATTAACTCCATCAATCTCCATTGGTTGTGGCTCCTCCCCTGATGTTGTTGCATTTCCCCTTATTGGTCCCTGAAATTTCTTGTTCTTGTTGAACTTGTAATCAGAAGGATATCCCACAAGTTTGTAGCAATCTCCTATCACATGGTTTGTCATTTTGTAATAAGTTTAAAATTGCTTTGGTTTCTTTCCTTTGTAGTTAGGGTTCCCTGCACTCTGTGTAGTTTTCTGAATTTCCTGTAAACTTCTGTGCTGATTGCATTTGGCTTCCATTTGTCATAGAGTATCCTTGGCTTCCTGCCATAAAAGATGAACCTCCTGAGGAAAATTGATTGTAAACAGGGGTTTCCCTCTGATTCTCATCTTGCAATAATAGTGAGTAAGCATGATTAACAGTAGGAAGTGGCTTAATCATCAAGATGTTACTCCTAGCCTGAGCATAGGTCTCATTCAACCCCATAAGAAATTGAATGAGCCTCTCATCCTCCAAAGATTTGACTAACTTCTTCTTTCCTCCATACACACATGCACAACTACAATTTGTATGAGTATTAAGAGAATCAAGTTCATCCCATAACTTCTTAATTTTTGTGTAATAGCGTGCAATATCATTAGTTCCCTACACTAAATCATTTAGTTCCTTTTGCAGATGGAATAACTTAGCATTATTTGACTGTCCAAATCTCTCTTCAAGATCAGTCCATAGATCTAAAGCTGTTTTGTAATAGATAACAACTTCAACTATCTCTTTTCCGAGAGAGTTCAATAACCAAGATGTCTCCATGTCATTGCATCGATTCCACTGTTGAAAATCCTTAGAGGTGACTGCTGGTGCTAAGCAAGTGCCATTGATAAAACCCAATTTGTTTTTGGCTGACAAGGCTATGAGGACAGATCTACGCCAAGCCTGATATCATTTGACATCAAAATGAGAATTCACCAGGTTCATACCTAGTGCATCAGATGAATGCAAAAAATAAGCATGGTTGGAGTCATACTGAGCTCCAATTCCAGCTGCTGTTGCTTCAACTTCAGTGTTATCCGGCATGGTTTTGTTATAAGTATCGAAAGAAGGAAGAAGGAAGAAGAAATGAGATTCAAATTTGAAGATGAACAAGAAGCTTTCAAGGCCCTCATACCACATTAGATTTAGAGACTAAAATTTCGAGAAAACTTTCTTCTTCTCTGTATTGATAACACATTGTACATCCTCTTTATATTAGTTTGTAATGTAAATTCAATAAATGAAAAAGAAAATTGTATTTACACTTGTCCTATTCTTATTCAATAAAATCTAACTATACTAACAAACTATATTCTCTCCCACATGCAAAGAATTGATCACATGTAGGCATCTTCTAGAATTATTCTTTTCTGATTGCTGGCCAAGGAAGTATTTGGAGGGTCATGATTTAATCCATCAATATTATGTTTGAAGGCTAGGATCTGTCCACGCGTTCCTTTGTTTGTCTGAGAAGATCAAGTTTGACCAGACCATATTTTAGAGTTAGGCTTCCCTTTACTCTTTGTATTCGATACACACGAAGCCTCACACGACCCCTCTTTCTTCTTCATCTTCAATCCTCTGCTATGTGACTCCATAGCTTGATTGCTTTTATGTAATCCATTCTGAGAATCAATATCATCATGATTCTCAACATAAATTCTCTCTAACAAAGATAACTCTATACTCAGAAATCGAACGCTAAATCTCTAATTAAGAATGATGGAGTACTTAACATCTACAACAACCTTATTGGTTAATTGTAATACTAATCGTTCTTTATTGTTAAGTTATGCATATCTTTGCGTCTTTTTGATTAGGTAATAGTCGTTACGTGGAAAGACCTTGTTGCATTTTAGTTTAAACTTTTTTTAAATTTTGAATTTTAGTAGGAGATTGAAAACGGCAATTCCACTGAAAGGATTTTCGTGAATCAGAATATAAAAATTTCTTAATTCTTATTCTTTACCGTACATGGCATCTTTAATAAAGTCTTCCAGAATTAGCATGACAGCAAAGAAAGGAATCTAGCGATAGACAGCAAAGAGTCACGTTTGGCAAACTTTAACAAGAAAATCTAGAAGGAAAAACAAATACCCTTTTAACTCATCAACGAGAATATTATGCGTATATAGTGCTAATTAATTGGAAGGGGCCGGGTCTTGGAACTGACACTAAAGTATTCTCTTTGTTATCTAAATGTCACGGGTTCGAGATATGAAAACAGCACTAATATTTACATTAGAATAAATTATCTACATCACACCAACCCCTTGGAGTTCTGTCCTTTCATGGACTATGTGTGAATGCCAGATGTTTTGTACACCGGGCTGTCATTTTTAATAGTACTAACAAATTTCTTCAGAGGCTAGGTAAGGTAATTTCAAAGCTTAAAAACAAGTATTGCAAAATCCAAAATTAGAAGTTAGACTTTAATTTCTGCATGGTGGGATCGAAACGAAGGTCCAAGATTTGTGACGACAAATAATTAATTAGGGTGGAATTAATTATGGTCTTGTTATTTTCTATAAGTTGTAACGTCAATTTATTATTACTAACCATAAAAACAAAGGCAAACCACAACATTGGTCAAGAAAACAGGTGGCGTACGTTGTTGTAGCATAATATTAGGACCCGTTTGGCCATAAATAAACTTGGGTTTTATGGCAAACACATGTTTGGTCATAGATTTTGCCAAAATAAATTTGAATTTTATGGCAAACACATGTTTGGCCATAGATTTTGCTTACATTTTTGCCAAATTCCAAATCCCAAAACCAGCTCAGCCAAAATATCACTATTATATTTTTTAAAAATTACCCCAAACTTTTGTATTTTATAAAAAAGACCATAATTTATTATTTTGTAACGATGTTGCTTCGTCTTCTCGGTCATCTGATAGTGTATCATGTATTTCATTATAAAAATGATAATTTTGTATCAAATTTATTTATGTTCAGGACTATGGTTTGTGATAATATAATGAATGTTATTGATAATGGTAATGTTAGGTATTTGTGATAGTTTTTAGAATTTGTGGATATAAGTCATGTTTCATGTTTTTTCAAACCAATCTTCATCCAAAACAGATGTCCAAACACATTTTCATCTTCAAACTAAATTTTACTCAAATCAGATTTTTGAGAATAAATTTGAGAATCTATGGACAAACGATAGTAAAGGAAAACCGTTCAAAGTTAAAGCAGTTTTTGTATACACAATGGGAAACAAATGACTGAATTAATCTTAATTGTCGTTAATCTGTCCTTTTCTCTTAGGTCATTTCCTTCTTGCACATGCACCCCACATGGACAGCTATATGGAGTTATAATTTTTGACCTTTCACTAACACTTATTAATTTGACATTGTGAACTTTTGACCAAAAGTATCAAATAAAGAGTCTTCTATTCATTATTAATTTCTCTTTACCACCTAAGGTTCTTGAACGTTTTGTAGTCTCTTCTGATGTTGTTATGTGTTGGGCAGGATGCGACTGTTCCTGTTTTCTCGTGCTTTTTGAGAAGCAATATTTAACAATTGTATTTGTACAGGCATATGTATATACTATATAGCACATTTGAAACTAATTGTAGTTCCCAATATAATGTACAACAGACAATGTTAGAGATGTGCTGACTTTTGAATCAGTTCTATATATATATATCATTTTCTTCACTTCCAAAACATAACACTATAATCAGAGACGTGGCCGTTGTTTTGTCAAATACGAACACAATGTGCAAAATCCAACCAAATTGCCTTCAGGTTTGGCACTACAATATTAATTAATGTGTGTTATGACCCGTTACCACCGATTAGACACGCAATATAATTGTAATACCCTAAATTTTAGACAGAGTCCCACATCGGCAAAAACACAAGAGGGATGCTGGGTATATAAGTGAACAAGCCTTAGACCCTATTGACGCGTTTTAAACTCGTGAGGACCTAGGCCTAGAGCGGACAATATCACTAGCGGGCTGAGCTGTTACAGATGGTATCATTGTAACACCCCAGACTTTAGTCACAGTCTCACATCGACAAAACACAAGAGGGGTATTGTGTATATAAGTTAACAAGCCTTAGACCATATTGACACGTTTTAAATCCGCGGGCGGGGTTATTACAGATACTATCAGAGTCACTCTTGTGTCAGCCATGCCGATGGTGGGTCACAGTTCAACTAAGTTTAGGCAAATTCCGATTAGGCGGGGCAAACCTCGGTGCTGAGTTTAGGCGAATCCCATGCGGTGGGAAAAACCTCAGCGAGGATGCTTGGTATATAAGTGAACAAGTCTTAGACCCTATTGACGTGTTTTAAACCCGTAAGGGCCTAGGCCTAGAGCGGACAATATCACTAGCGGGCTGAGCTGTTACAATAATGCCTTGTCATTTTTTTTGTTTTCCTACTCGGTATTCGGCACCTACATTGGCCCCCCACTAAATCCGGATTCGCACCGGAAAGTCCCACATTGGGGGGTAAGCGCTCCCTAACAAAGGTGACTCCATATTCAGGGATTCGAACCCGAGACCTCTGGTTAAAGATGAATGAGTACTTACCACTCTACCACTAACTTTGGTACTACAGTATTAATTAATGTGTGTTATGATCCGTTACCACCAATCATTATTAGACATGCAGTATAATGCCTTGTCATTTTTTTTTTTTTGGTTTCCCATTTGGTGTCCGGTATCTATATTGGGACCGACTAAATCCGAATTCGCACCGGGAAGTCCCACATTGGGGGAGGGGGGAGGGGGGGGAGGGGTAAAGCGCTCCCTAACAAAGGTGACTCTATACCGAGGGCCTCGAACCCGAGACCTACTCTGGTTAAATATGAAAGAGTACTTACCACTCTACTACAACCCTTGCTGGTAGTGCCTTGTCATACTAATTATTGAGAAGCACCACCAAATACGTTAAACTATTACTATTACCATTGCTATTATACTATTTCAAGCGGTCGATAAACTACAGTCAAACCTCTTTATAGTAGCCTTATTTGTGTTGAATTATTTTTGGCTGTTATAGTGTAATATTGTTATAAAAAATATATATTATAACATAGCATAAAAATTAATTTCATAAAAACTTGGCTTTTATAGTAAAAAATTGTTATATAACGATGCTGTTATAGAAAAGTCTGATCGTAAGTGACGTATAATTGAACTTTTTCAGAAAATTAATTAAAATTGAATTTCAAGGGCCAAAGTTCACTATACCACGAAATTTCTTTTACTACTTTGTTTAATTATATGGTAGTTTCCCAAGCTAAGGGGAAGAGGTACATCACTAAGGAAATTTCCTTTATTCTTTTCCCAAAAGGAAATTTCCTTTATTAGTTTTTTTCTTTTAATCTATTGTTGAGAAAGCCGCTGGATTTTGACACAAATTTTTGCTTTAATTTTTTTAACTTCATTATAACAATTTGTCTTTATTTAGCAATATGGGAATTCCCAAGCTAAAGGACCAGGAATATTGGTGCATTGCCAAGGAAATTTCCTTTAATAATCTTTTCTTATCCAATTATTGAGAAAGCCGTCGGACATACTTTCATTAAATTTAACTTTATTCACTACCAATATAAAATAAATTAATAGTTCTCGTAGTGCTTGCTAAATGGAATATTTTACATGCTTAAAGTTTGGATTTAGCCTTTCTTTATTTGTACGCAATTGATGATTTAAATTCTTCTAAGCTGACGTAAAGGTGGCGAAGATAAGGTATTTCCTTGTAAAAACAATATTCTGAAAGGATCTGTCAGTGTTCTTAATATATGCTTTGTTATAAGTAAAATCAAATTACGGTGAATGTCTATCTTCCTTCGTGATCTTCCTCTCAAATGCTTAATGACATATTCAATGACTTATTTCTTCATTTTTCATGCCTATTTAAAGGTATTGTAATAGATAGAAAGAACACACAATTGAAGAAGAAATAAAAATCTCCCCCTTCTCTTTATTTTCATTTCTTGTTCATATTTTACTAAATTACTTTTATTTTATAACACGTTATCAGCACGAGACACTACCGTCTCAAGAA